GGTAGGGTATGACGCTGGAGGAGGCCGGACCAAAACCGTGGCGCAGCCGTGACGCGACGCAGACGGACCCGGTGGAATCGAGGGGTTAGACGCTGATGTTGCGGGGTTGCATCTCTTTAAAGGCTTCTTCAGGCACTAGAGTTGCTGGGTTGGAAAATGGAGACTGGATGAGCACCGATATGAAATTCAAACCGGTCACTATGGAACATGTATGTCGTTTTGAACTTTGCATTTAAATATTATTCTGTTTTGGTTTCTATATTTGGACGGTGTTCCTAGGGGGAACCCCTTTTTTAAGGGGGGGGGGGGTGATACGACCCCCTCCACTCCACTAGGGGTGCCTTTGTGTTCTGTTTGCTGGCTCTTGTTTGTGTTTCAGGTGATCAACCTGAGAAGCCACACCTGGGCTGTCGACATAAAAGGCCAACACCAACCCATACTGCCCTCTCACTCTTCTGTTGGACATGGCCACGTCTTTGTCACTGCACATTTTCACACACCCATACACGCAATCTTTACTGATAACTGACTTCCATGTTTATTAGGTTTCTTTGAAGACCTTTGGTTTTGGTTATAGTAAATAAATACGCTTTTCTTACAATTAACTTGTCTGGTCTCCCATCTTTGTTGCAGCCTATGAGCCAGGCCGTAACACCTTAAAAAGTTTCAAACATGTACAAACATCTTTGCCCCCAGCTGTTCATTCTGAACCAAACAAATGGAATCATTCAGTCAAAGTAATCACTATTTTGAATCACAGACACATAAGCCCTTTTATCTGGAATGATAGAGCCTGTGGGAGGACATATAATAAATCCTTTCCCATCAGCATTCACAAACAGAGAGTCTAACATTGCATGCTGCTGACTCATGGGTTCCATACAATGGTGCCGTTGATTGTTTGGATGCCACGTTAGGTATAAAAAAGGCTTAAATCCCGGATAGGAATGCTATAGCATCAGTCAATACATCAGCCACCATGCACGGCAAGGTGAGTGTATCATGGATAGATTTATTTATGATTCTCTATCAACGTTTGTACACATTCAGTTCTTGTCTTTGCTTTATTTTTTTATATAATGTATAATGTAATGTATAGTTATGTAAGCGCTTTGAGCACCAGGAAAAGCGCTTTATAAATGTAATGTATTATTATTATAGTTGAGTGCATAGAAAGGGAACATAGATGCATCCTTTTTTGCACTATTAGCACACTAAGATAATGATTACATACTAAGCTGTTTACATCAGGGTTGTTTTTAAATTTACCATCCACCTTGATGTAATACTAAACTGTAATTGCTCTGTTGGATTCTAGATCATCTTCTACGAGGACAAGAACTTCCAGGGTCGCTCCTATGAGACCAGCAGTGACTGCGCTGACATGGCCTCCCACCTGAGCAGGTGTCACTCCTGCAAGGTGGAGAGCGGCTGCTTCATGGTCTACGACCGCACCAACTACATGGGAAACCAGTACTTCATGAAGAGGGGCGAGTACTCTGACTACCAGCGTATGATGGGTTTCGGTGACTGCATCAGGTCTTGTCGGATGATCCCCATGGTATGATATCATGAAATTCTGCATTTCTCATGAGGAGCTAAATTATCATTCGAGACGACTAACTCAATATATATACTCTTTACAGCACAAAGGGTCCTACAAAGTGAAGATCTACGAGAGGGAGAACTTTGGTGGTCAGATGAATGAGGTAAATGAGGACTGTGACAACATCCAGGACCGTTGTCATATGTCTGACTGCCAGTCCTGCAACGTGATGGACGGCCACTGGCTGATGTACGAGCAGCCCCAGTTCAGAGGCAAGATGATGTACCTGAGGCCCGGAGAGTACAAGAGCTTCAAGGACATGGGATACGATGCAATGAGATTCAGCTCCATCAGACGCATTACTGACTCCTGTTAGTTTTTACAAATGAATTGGTTTTCGTTCAACAAAACTGAAATAAAAGAAATCCATATATAACCTGGCGTATGCAATCTTTATTGTTAATAATATTTTAATTGTACATTATGTCTGATTTGAATGCAACTGTTAAATAGAAAATAGAAAAAAGAGATGTATATTATAGATAATTATTTTGCTTATTAATTGGTTCCGTTATCTTCTTTATCCATCATATACAACCTCATATTTTCACCTTAAGAAGTTAATGCAAATACATAAATATATTTCTAAAATGTTTTTTTTTAAACATTGTATAAAACCACATGGGTTGAAAAAAAATTCACATAAAAAAAAGATATACCAGTTTAACGCCTTACTTAGGAAGGAGTTAATAATTCAAGGCACAGTTTTTGTTATGTAGAATTTCATAACTTGACTGATTCAGTTGTGAAAGGTACAGTCCACAAGTGGTGCAGCACACATTCCACAACAGTGATGTGGATCTGAAAAAGGGTTAGCAATTGAAAGCAGACAACGTTGTCTCAATTAAAATGGTGCGGTTCTCTTTACAGAGACAGGGAGTTTAACATGATGTCAATATTTAAAAAGCCAGTGCAAATAAAGTCGTCTCTGGAAGGCCTCTCAGTAACATGGTTCCTGCAGGTTTCACCAACTCAAATGTAAGACTTTTGAAGACCACTTTGAATAGAATGTAAGACATATTTCACGGCAAGAAAGTATGAAGGAAAATTGCTAGGAAGAAGTAATACCGCCCATAATACTTACAAGTAAATGTATTCATGTCAACATACAGAACGAATGGCTGAACATAACAGGCACACCCAACAGCACACAGAATGTGTGTGTGTGTGTGTGTGTGTGTGTGTGTGTGTGTGTGTGTGTGTGTGTGTGTCAAGAGCTATAGTCAGAGCTCTGCTGTCTTCATGCTGTTGTATTTTGTTTGCAAAAGGTGCAGCGGGCTTCAAACACATTCCCCTCCACTGGTTTCAACCAAGCACTAAATTTGATGTTTTCCAACCAAATACGGTTGAACTTACACTTTACCATATTTATTTGTAAGTAGATTCGAAGATACGTAATTTCTGACTTCCGCTAGCTGAAGCTTGGTTGCTAGGTTGCTAGCTGGGTGTTCTCCGATAAGGGGCCGGGGGAAACAAAGTTAATGATTACTGGTTCCATGTTGATTAATTTCAATACAAATTGTTGGGGGGAACTGAAAGGCTCTTACCGTACTGGGTTACTTTGCAGCCCGGACATTTCCCCCAAAACACATTTAGACGTGATCGCAACACAGAAGTACCTTTCAAATCCGATCATTTTTAAGACCTTCTAAAATCATATTTAAGACCTTTCTTATTTTTTTGACTTTTTTTAGGCCTTAAATTCTGATTATCAAATGTAAGACTTTTTAAGACCCCGTGTGAACCCTGAGTAAGTAATTTATAAGTGCAATAAAATCAAAGAGGATTTAATGTATTTTAGATCCATATCAAATTATCTATACTTGACTTTTGCACTAATTTATTCGCTTTAGCTCTGGGTATAGAAAGGAAATCTAATTACATGTGGCAGTTTAAGATTTTTACTACCATCACATGCAATTCTTCAGTGAGTAGCATTTTCTGCAACATCTTCACTGAGTGAATTAAGCAATCTGTCAGCCTCCTACTCTGCCAGTTAGTGCTGCTTTGTGTTTTTCCTTTGAAGGTTGCCTGCAGGTAAAGACTGAGCCATTTAACTTGAGGCTTAGCTTATTTGGAAGTGGTTCATCGTCTACCTCTCTTTCTCCAGCACCATCTACCCTTTTGGTTTCTCAAAATACCACACTTATTGCAATCACCAATGATTTACAGACTACAGATTTAAATATCATGTTGGTTTTGACTCCACCCCCCCTACCTTCGATGTGACAAAAGCAATTACCCCACTCCTGTTTCATTCACCCATTTTTTTCAATATCAGATAGCTATTTAATCCACAAGATGAATGAGTGCTTAAAGGGAAAAACAGCTTGAAATATCAGTAATTTATCTAGTATGATTGTGATGTGTTTTAGCTATTTATTTTTGTGGCGAGTACGCGCAAGACTGTTCTTGGGTATTAATCATTAAATAGTATTACAATCAAACCATCAAAATGATTGCTCCAAAAGCTATAAACTTACAAATTAATTGATATACATGTATTTAATCTTCATTTTGGTTGTAGTCAAAGTTGTGAGTTAATATAGTACACTTTTATTATTGTTCTTATAGTCTATAATTGCTGAACTGAATGTGCACAGTATCACTTACAGTATTTCATAAATGTACACTAGATACAATAAAAACCAAGTTAATTACATTCCAACTATTTGTATGAATAATGTCAGCATACAAATCATATATTTGGAGATTGTGCTATAAAATAATATGATCAGTTGGTTTTGTATGCTGTATTGTATCTAAAAGTAGATGTTGTAAATGTTTTTCTGAAAAAAATAAGTTTTTACCAAGAGATATTATTCTAAAAATAAAGACACTTTTATTTGGAAATAATATAAAAAAACAAAGCAACATATTATCTGGTGTGTGACTTTTGGAAAATGGTCATATGGTTTTATCTCAACAAAAAAAAAAGTGTCAAGGGGCCTTACTGTTTTTTGTATATATCATGGTGTAGAATAATTACATTTGATAAAATCCACATGTTTTCTTAGACTCGTATAGTTAATCCTGCATCAGTGATGTATTTTTTCATGGCTATGAACCCATTAATTGACTAGATCAGAGGTTACATATTTAATGTGAAGTACAGTATGTTGTTTGTGAAAAAACGGCTGGTGTTGTTCAGCAGCACAGACAATGCAAAGCAGGGCCTCTTCCCACTATTGCAACCAAAGCAAATCATGAACTGTTATAGGTCACTTTGAATTGAACTGTACACGGGTGCCTCTGCTACGTATTGCCCTGTCAGGAATTTCAACAATGGGGTCATGTTTTCCTTTGATGCTAGGTCAGGTATAAAAGCAACTGGGGGACATCGAAAAAAGTGTGCAGTCATTTAGAGCTGAAGCAATAGTAGTAAACTGTAACCATGACCATGGGCAAGGTATTTACAGCACTCGATTTCTAACATTCAAATCAAATCAGGGTCGTCGTTAAAACTGAAAAAATGTGTACTTTATAAAATCTTCGATACACTGTTATCATAATGATTCCTTTTTACAGATCATCTTCTACGAGGACAGGAACTTCCAGGGTCGTTCCTATGAGACCAGCAATGACTGCTCTGACATGTCCTCCTACCTGAGCAGGTGTCACTCCTGCAAGGTGGAGAGCGGCTGCTTCATGGTGTACGACCGCAACAACTACATGGGAAACCAGTACTTTGTCAGGAGGGGCGAGTACTCCGACTACCAGCGTATGGGCATGAGTGACTGCATCAAGTCTTGCCGCATGATCCCCATGGTACTTTGAAATTATGACATTTCATAAATGAAAAATGTTATATGATATTTGAAGGAGGATTTCTTTGTCTTATGATCATTCTTTTTAATTTACAGCACAGAGGCCAGTTCAGGATGAGGATCCACGAGAAGGAGAACTTCGGTGGTCAGATGCATGAGCTGATGGACGACTGCGACAACATGATGGACCGTTACCGCATGAACGAGTGCCAGTCCTGCAACGTGATGGACGGCCACTGGCTGATGTACGAGCAGCCCCAGTACAAGGGCAAGATGATGTACCTGAGGCCCGGAGAGTACAAGAGCTTCAGAGACATGGGCATGAGCGGCCAGAGGTTCATGAGCATGAAGCGCATCATGGACTCCTGTTATTAGAGCGCCACCGTATGAAAGATTTTTAATAAAAATCTAGTGATTCTCTTTTAAATCTACTACTCTTGTTTGTTATTATTGAGTGATCTGAAAGTCATACACACAAATAACTGATGGTAAAAGAGGTTGACACACATGGAAAATGTATACACTATAAAAATATGAATCACAGAACTTTAAATAACTGTACTTTGTAGATTAATACTGAAGACATCAAAACTATGAAAGAACATGTGACCCGCTCTATCGAAATCAGTCGGAAGTCGCAACGGCTCATTTCAAAATAAACGCGGATTTGTGTAAAAAAATTGTTTTTCAGGGTTCGGGTGTTTTGTTTGATTTTAAATAAACAAAGTCTTGGCTTTCAGAATATAAAACTTTTATTTCCAAAATCACACGATAAATACATTTTTGAAGCTTGTGAAGGGAAGATGACAGCTCTCACTCACCACTCTGTTCTGCAGCGCCACTGCCTCACTTCCCCCAGACCAGAAATCCAAACGAAAATATCTTCCCTCCGTAGTATTTTGATAATTTGCTCCGCTAATAATCAATCAGATCGATGGATTCCAGAGAAGAGGAAACTTTGAAGGCCTTTTTCTCAAAATGATGACACGGTGACAGTCATTATATAATGTGACATATTTTGCTTAATATTTGGAGTACAACAACAATCCTGATATCATTAGAAAGCTAGGAATCTCCTCTTTCCAACAGTGTATACAACTCAAAATGTGTCTTCGGGTCAATGCGAATGATTTCGATGGAGCAGGCCACATATATGAAATTATCTAGTAAACAAAAAGTGTAATAAAAAATTATCAATAATATGATTTTTATTTTAGATTCTTCAGAGTAGCCCCCTTTTGCCTTGATGACAGCTTTGTACACTCTTGGCTTCTCTCAGTCAGCTTCATGAGGTAGTCACCTGGAATGGTTTTCAATTAACACGTGTTCCTTGTCAATTTGTGGAATTACTTGCCTTCTTAATGTGTTTGAGACCATCAGTTGTGTTGTGCAGAGGTAGGGTTAGTGCACAGTGTATAGCCCCTATTTGACTACTGTTGTAATCCATATTATGGCAAGAACCAGGCTATGTAAGGGCTATTTTACTAAGAAGAAAAGTGACAGTGTTACGGATTGTGAAGGAAGCAGGACCCAAAAGCAGATATAACTGAAAAAACTCCTTTATTTCAAGGCAAAATGATATAAACAAAGACAAAACAGAACACTCACTGAAGAACTAGTCATGACACAAGACGATCCGACAAAGATAGACAGAAAACCCAGAACTTAAATACACAAAAGACTAGTCACAAAACAAGACACAGGTGAGGAGGGAGGAGGAAATACAGGGGCCACAGGTGAACATAATCTGACAATTAGACACACCAGGGAAACTAACGACAGGAGAAAAAACACAGGGAAAAGGAGCAGACAATAAACAGGAGGAAAACATGACAGGGAAAACAGCAAAACACCCAAACCTAGACATATAACGTGACATAACCTAAACATACAAAACTACCAACGTGACATGAGCCTAGGAGTGTGACAGACAGAGTGCTCCATCAGATGACCTGGCCTCCACAATCAACCAACGTCAACCCAATTGAGAAGGTTTGGGATCAGTTGGACCGCAGAGTGAAGGAAAATCAGCCAACAAGTGCTCAGCTCCTCAGGGAAGTTCTTCAAGACGGTTGGAAAACCATTCAAGGTGACTACATCATGAAGCTAACTGAGAGAAGCCAAGAGTGTGCAAAGCTGTCAAGGCAAAATAGGGCTAATTTGAAGAATCTAAAATAGAACAAACACTTTTTGTTTACTAGATAATTCCATATGTGTTCTTTTATAGTTTTAATGTCTACAGTATGAATCTACAATGTATAAAATAATTTAAATAAATAGAAACCTTCAAATTAGAAGATGTGTGCAAACTTTTGACTGGTACTATATTTAAGAGAATATCTTTGGGTTTAGGATTGACAAAAAATAAAAAGATGACAATAAAGGCTTTCAATTCTATAATATGCTATTTACATATGTGTCGTTGAAAGGAATATTGTTTTCAGCTTTAATTATACGTTTTTTCTTCCGACACTAAAATATGGAATTGGTTATGATCCATCACACGTATACATTTGGGATCCACACCTGCTATTTAAAAACAGCTGACTTTCAAAACAATTGATTAAAATGACAATGTATTATTCTAGGAGAATGAAGAAAAGCTTTGCTTGCTCATCAAAGTTGCATTGTGACAAACAATGGGGAAAGGTACGCCATTCTGTTCTGTTGGTCTTTAGTTGACAGAACAATAACCATGCTGTTTTGTAAAAAGATCACTTGCCGTCATCATTTTTTGCACTAGGAAATAACTTAACTAACACTTTATTTAATTGTTGAATTGTCCAGAGTAAAGTGGCCACGGAATGTTTGAGTACAACAACTTAGTATTTTCTTTTCATTTTTAATTACAAGCTAAATATTATAAATGTTACCATAAGGCTTGCTGAGGCAGTTTTATGATGGATGATCCATCATAAAACTGCCTCAGCAAGCCTTATGGTAACATTTATAATATTTAGCTTGTAATTAAAAATGAAAAGAAAATACTAAGTTGTTGTACTCAAANGATTAAGAGGTTGCTTTTTCTTTGCACAACATGAAAGAAAGGCGAAATGAATGGGCTGTGATTTTTAGTATTTTTAAGCAGAGTTCAATCATTTGTACGGCCCTCGGAGGATATTGAAAAAATTGAAATGGCCCTTGAGAGGAAAAAGGTTCCCCACCCCTGTGTGTGTTGTTGTAAAGTCTGATTGCTGGCTGCAGGAAGAAAGCACCTGCAGTTTATCTCTGTGAGACACCGCGGGGGAAGCAGGTGTCACTGAAGGTGCTGCAAAACAAAGGAGGAAGTGACATGATGTCCAGCAGGGACGACAGCTTGGCCATCATCCACCTGTCTGAAACTCCACAGTGTCCAGAGGGCCTCCAGGACAAAGCTGGCCTTCTTTACCAATCTGATGAGTCTCTTCAGCCACTAAGAAGCTGCTCCAGCAAGCCACTCAGAAGGCAGAAAGTCAACCTTGTTCCTCTGTCCTGCAGTGACTGAAACCATCCAGCAGTGAGTAAATAAATGTATACATAATTTTTTTAAGTAAGTAAAGGATATGTAAGCTATCCGCTACGCTAATTTATGCAATGTAAAAGGTCTAAAGCTTATGCTAATAACGTTAGCATGCTCCACATGTAGCTTGATTAGCAACTGACACGTTTTGTATGTGAAGTTAAGATAGTGCTACACTTTTTTTTCTTCTTCTAATAGTGTGTTGCTAACTGAATAAAAGTTTGCTTTCAGCTGTCTGTTTAAAGATAGCTCTGTATTCTTTATTGTCAGCTTTCCCTTTTTAAGATAACGACTTATATTTTTGTAGTTAGCATGTTTTTAGTCAATTAGCATCACACATATAAAGCCTTCTGTCTACATGAATACTTGAACAGGTAAGACCATGTATTTTTTAATAATAATTGTGGATGAGACATTGAATGTAGCAGTATGCCTACACAAATACATTAGGAAATGAATGCTATGAGCTAATGTTATGAGGTATTGATAGCTCAACTAGCAAAAAGGTTTTATTTGATTGTATGGCAAAGATGCAAATTCACACCAGCAAGTACTGGTAGAAGCCAAGCATGCTCTTTACTTGGGAAATACAGTGACTTAAGGCTTGGCTTTTCATTTTTTCAGGTATGCATGACTTTTGCAAGACACATTTGCCTAATATAACAGTTAGCATGAATTACGGATTCACCGTGTCAACCAAGGAAGCTTGTTAGCTTTAACTTCACCTGTTAACTCAGAGTTTACTATGCTGTATTGTTCCTCTCCAGCACAAGCTTCTCGTCTAATTACGGGTTTCGTTCGTAAATCTAATCGGCTGCTTCACAATAAAATCAGATCGCTGTAATCTAAAGAAACAGAGCGTTCTGATTTCACATGAATTTAAAAACGGGTAAGTAAAACACTTTCCTCTTGATATGTATATTTAGAAATGCAGCTCCTCCTGTGCAAGTGCTTGTCAAAAGTTAGGATGACAGTGTAAGAAATGATTATTGAAGAGACAGAGAGTGTAACTCTATACACACTCTCTCTCTTCAATAATATTTTTTTACACATGAAACATATGCAGCTAGCTTGTGATATGAGATAATGTTAGCTTACAGTAGGTAGCTAAATGTTTAATTATGGACAACCAAGTATGGACAACACGCTTGGTGCTCTCCTGCTCTTCTCCTGCTAAGAATAACCAAACAGTATTTTTCACAGTGCTTTAAATGTGGCACACACGATGTCATATTCGACTCAGGAATAAACGGATTAGATTTTGCGGTTCAAGGTCTCTGTGATGAGACATCTTTTCAATTCTCGTGAAGGCGATATCTCAGGAATGTGATTAAGTTGTCCGTAAGTAGTGTTCATTTGTTCCAATAAGAGCAGTTTTGAATCCTTTTCAATGTTTTTATTAATGTAAGGTGGCATTTTAAAACCATTTTTTAAAAGTTACAAAACAGAAATTGTGATCAGCTGAGAGGGAAACCTTTTTGATAATACATACAAATACAAAGTCAGGATGTTTAATTAATTATACTAAAAAAATATTTGCACAGTTTCTGGGTTTCTCATAGGTTTGTCACAGATGTGGACTGTTGTCACCTTCGTTCCATCAGTGTTGATCAGACCATATGTGGAGAAGCTTCTGACTGAAAATGGAACACACACAAAGCTCTTGCTTATAATAGACAATGCAGATGACGGCTGCCAGAAATGTATGGATGGTGAGCCATTGTTACACTTTTACAGACCCCGTTCAGCAGAAGTCATACTGCTTGATCATCAGCTTTACACATTAGAATAACAACACGTCATGGACCCAACACTTTTGTATAAAAGGGGCCTGGATTCATGGAGTTGGCAGAGCAAGTTGAACCATCCACTTGGAACTACCTAAACCATCATCATGGGCAAGGTAATGGGATGCTTATCTAAAAATACATTTCTACAAAGCAAAATACATTATCACTGATATTAACTATTACTTTTTTCTCCATTTCAGATTGTCTTTTACGAGGAGAAGAACTTCCAGGGTCGTTCCTATGAGTGCATGAGCGACTGCCCTGACATGTCCTCCTACCTGAGCAGGTGCCAGTCCTGCAGGGTTGAGAGCGGCTGCTTCATGACCTACGAGCGCCCCAACTACATGGGAAACCAGTTCTTCATGAGGAAGGGCGAGTACCAGGACATGCAGCGCATGATGAGCATGGGAATGATGTTCGACAACATCAGATCCTGCAGAATGATCCCCTTCGTAAGACACCATTTATACATCTCTTTTGATTTTAATCAAATTTCTTTGTCATAAATTGTGTTGCCTACTTACATCTTCCCTTTATGGTATTACAGCACAGAGGCCAGTTCAGGATGAGGATCCACGAGAGGGAGAACTTTGGTGGTCAGATGAATGAGCTGATGGACGACTGTGACAACATCCAGGAGCGTTACCGCATGAACGAGTGCCAGTCCTGCAACGTGATGGACGGTCACTGGCTGATGTACGAGCAGCCCCAGTTCAGAGGCAAGATGATGTACATGAGGCCCGGAGAGTACAAGAGCTTCAGGGACATGGGCATGAGCGGCCAGAGGTTCATGAGCATGAGGCGTATCACTGATATGTGCTAGACTTCTGTATTTGACTTAAGTAAATAAAAGCAATGTGTAATTATTAACTATGTTTGTCAAGCACTTCCTTTCTTTGTGTGACATGTCCTTAGCTGTTAAAGTAACTAAATAACCACATCATCAATACAAAAATCTATACTAAGTGTTGATTAGTTGAGTTGCTTTTACTTGAATTAATACTTTTTTTAACCCATCCAAAATATGTTATATGTTCAAATTTAGATACCAATAACACAGAAAAGAAGAAACAATTCGAAAACAATATAATTAGATATTTAGAATTTAAGAGAAACGGCCCAAATAATTAAAAGACAGTTATTGTTAGGACATCAACACAGCTTTTGTATTTTTTAACAAAGACAAGTCTCTTGTAGGCTAAAGGTCCTTTGCTTTAAAATGAGTCGTAGTGATGACTTCAAGATGTTGTCTTTTACCATTTTGATTGAACACATTACAAGGCTGTGTAATAAAACTGAAAAATCTGTAAAACGTTATTAATAGAAGGTAATATTCCCAAATATGCTGCATCCATCATAAAACTGCCTCAGCAAGCCTTATAATAACATTTATAATATTTAGCTTGTAATTAAAAATGAAAAGAAAATATTTCCTAGTGCAAAAAATGATGACGGCAAGTGATTTTTTTTACAAAACAACATGGTTATTGTTCTGTCAACTAAAGACCAACAGAACAGAGTGGCGTACCTTTCCCCATTGTTTGTCACAATGCAACTTGATGAGCAAGCAAAGCTTTTCTTCATTCTCCTAGAATAATACATTGTCATTTTAATCAATTGTTTTGAAAGTCAGCTGTTTTTAAATAGCAGGTGTGGATCCCAAATGTATACGTGTGATGGATCATAACCAATTCCATATTTTAGTGTCGGAAGAAAAAACGTATAATTAAAGCTGAAAACAATATTCCTTTCAACGACACATATGTAAATAGCATATTATAGAATTGAAAGCCTTTATTGTCATCTTTTTATTTTTTGTCAATCCTAAACCTGAGACTGCCAAGGCACACNAAAGATGTGCCTTTACCTCACTGGTTGTAGAAAAAGCTTCTTATATTCGTTAGCATAGCTAGCTAACCAGATGCTAATAACAACAAAGTTATTGACTGTATGATCAGTATGAAAGATGAACAGATCGCCACTGGGCTTTCAACTAAAGACACAGCCACGCAAAAACTGCGGCATGTCTACGGCTCCTTATGGGTACTGCAATTTTTGGTGCCGGAGCGACGTTCTGGTACTCTCCGTCAGAACTGCACCCCTGTCAGACGAGACATATACCACGTGATAACACGTTAGGCTCATGTTGTGTTCAAGGAGTGTTTATAAATTACCTCGAGGGGCCGTACCAAATGGTCTCGCGGGCCGTATACGGCCCGGGGGCCGGAGGATCCCCACCCCTGCAGAGCACTGTGGACCATATGAGCAGTGGTGGAATTTAACCAAGTACAATTACAATTATGAGGTACTTTACTTTTACTTTATACTTTTACTTGACTACATTTTGGAGGCACTATTTTTTTGTTTTTACTCCACTACATTACATTTGGAAAACGACTAGCTACTAGCTACTTTGCAAGTTTCATAATACAGAATATAAACCAACCAATAAATCATAATTATTATAGGTTACGCTTCCCATTAGTATAGCAAGTAATACAAATAATCCCCACCTTTACCAAATGAACATTGAAATGAATGCATTAATGATGTTTAAAATACAGAAATGTAGTATTTTTAAATCTGATATGAGCCATAGCCTACTGGAAAATTAGTACTTTGTGAATGCAGGACTTTTACCTGTAACCGAGTATTCCTACACTCTGGTATTCTACTTTACTCAAGTACAAGATCTGAGTACTTCTCCCAGCTCTGGCGGTGTCTCACAGTGAGATGCTGCAGGTGCTTTCACATGAGAATACCACTGCTCATGTGCACATACACTTTTGTACAGTTGATTATTGTTAATGTGTTCATGTCTGTGAATGTTTTTGCACATTTCTATATATACTTTACATACTTTTATAATGCTGATACTTGTTTTCATTTCTTTTTACCATGGCTGTGTACATATTAAATTGTATTAATATGTGCTTGCCTCTTTATTTAATATGTTAACTTATCCATTGTATTTGGCTTTTTTTCTGCTGTAAATTGCTGTAGAGGGAGCACAAAAGGCTGTTGTGACTATACTTGTCACATGCCCATGGACCATGGTAAGTTGTAAGATCAACTGCCTTCAATCTAAGCAGATAATCGTTTGTTTTATTCCGTTATTACAGTGTATCCTACTTATTTATCCATCCGTTTATCCATGTTGCAGGATTTGTTTAATCGGTTTGTTTGCCACTAAGTCAGACACAAATAGACTGTATGGACAGTGCCTTTCAACTTCCTCCCTGTGCACAAATGTAAAGCCACTTCCTGATACAGGAGCTGTCTTTCCCAGGTATTGATTTTTTAATTAGGAGTGAGTAATTTACGCAGTTAGGATCAGGGTGCTCAAACCTACGAAGCAACAATTGGATAAGCAAGGGCATTGCTTTTTTAGCTTGGCAAAATAGCTGTTATCTTAGCACCATAGTAACTGGCTCAGACACTTGTTCAATTACACAAACCTGAGATTCATACATGTCATCTGCATGTCTGCTAAATACAAACAAAAAATTAAACAGTCCACTATTTTACTGTCGACATTGCAGGCAACCTTATTTTTCTGCAGGACTGCAATGTGCAACAATAATTAATAAATGTTATCTAAATAAAATTCTTGAGGACTGTATTTTAAACAATTTAAATGGCATTACATTTGGTAGAGTTTACATAACTACTTCATACAGTGATGTTTCTCTTGATTTTCTATACTCATGACTGATCTAAAAAATATAAAATCCCATTTCCATTTGAAGAAAGTTCTGTATGTAAATGATATGTTCGACTCCACTTCGAGCAATAGAATTACTAACAAAGAATTGCTAACAAAGCACTTATATACTGACAAAGGACTGGCTTATCTAAAGCCAGTTGAGTAGCACTTGAAATGTTTTGGCTCTATGAAACCTGATGTACTTCTATGATTCTGTTTTCTTCAAGTTTGTATCTTGTTGGTCGAATGCACTTATTGTAAGTCGCTTTGGATAAAAGTGTCAGCTAAATGCAATGTAATGTAAAGTAATGTAAATTAAATAAATAGTTGTAAATAATCAGAAATATGTAAAATAATTACATATTTTTGAAAGTGTGTACAGTGTGTGCTAATAAAATAGGATTTATAGTATTTGAGTTCATTTTTGTTGTGGTGTAGGCTGATTGCCTTAGCTTACACTTACCTTCAGTATTATATGATAATATATATTATATTATATGATAATATATATTATATGATAATTGAGTCATAACAAGTATCGCAGAAGAAAAGGTTGATGAAGCATTATTCACTCTCATGGGTAGTTTATATGCTGCAGTACAGTTGTGGCTGCTTACCCCTCTTGTTTCTTGTAGTTAGGGTGTAAACAAAATGTCAAAAATAATTCCCTTTTGTTCACAGTAACGCCAAATGTATTACAGATCTGCAAACCACAAAGCCTTTTTATCGTCTTAATGAAAGGCTCTGTTTATTTTTAAGCCCAGGCAACAACATCAGACTTTGTCAAACTAATCAAAACACATTCACAAAGGAGATTTAAAAATGCAACATCTTTAATAAACAAAGTGTTTGATATTTACATCAAGGTTTCGCTAAACGGCTAAAATTCGTTGACCCTCCTGAAGGAGCCAACGATGGCGCAGGTGGCGCACCAGTCGCGGTACCTCCTGTATTCCCCAGGTCTCAGGAAGTACTGTCTGCCTCGGAAGTTGGGGTACTCATAGAAGATCCAGAAGCCATTCATAATATTACTGGAGTACACATGGCGGTGATGGAAACGGTCAGACACACAGGGACAGTCATCCATGAACTCCATCATGTGACCGCTGAAGTCGGGCTTCTCGTAGATGCGCAATCTGTAGGAGCCTCGATACTGTGGGAACAAAGGACATGAAGTCTTCTTTAACCAAGTGCCTTTTGGAAATGATCAGACTTTAAAGCAAAATGTCCATCGTCTTTAATCGTCGTCTTACCTGTGGAATCATCCTGCATGAGCGGATACAGCTACTGAATCCCATCCACCTCTGGTAGTCGGGGTACTCTCCCCTCCTCATGAAGTACTGGTGGCCCATGAAGCTGGGTCGCTCGTAGATCATGAAGCAGCCGCTCTCCACCCTGATGGAGTTGCAGCGGCTGAAGTACGAGTGAAGGTCCGTGCAGTCGTTGCTGCACTCATAGCTCCGACCCTGGAAGTTTTTGTCCTCGTAAAAGATAATCTATTGGGGAATAAATGTGTCAGTAGCTGCCAATGTTTCAGCAATAAGAGTTGAGAAAACATAAAACATACTGAGAAAACGTTGCAGTACATTTAATATAAGCAGAGAGAAAAAAACAGTACTTACCTTGCCCATGGTCTCCGTTGGAGAGATTCCCCATGTTTTCAGGGCTTTTTATACTACCTCTTGACAAACAAAGTATTGTTATTCAAATTCTCTATAATTGAAGGCTACTGGCACATGTTTACCTTTTTGTTGGAGCACAACATTGGGACGGAAATATGGATTTGTATTTGGAAAAAAGGATAAATAATTAACTGGTTTGGTGTTTTGACGTGCATGGACAAAGGAAAAGACTAGTATGGTATCCACACGTCCAGTGGACAATGGCTGCAGAACAACATGGAACAGCCCTTTCGCATTAAATATGTTGCATAACAGAGCAGGAAGCCATTTGCTCGGCCTAACGTTCTACCTGAGCAAACCCACTGTATGCAAATAAGTAAGTTTACACTGTGCTGTTGGACTGTGCTTCTCTGAAACCAAAGGTTTTAAAAGTTTCTTGGTGTGTGTGTGTGTGTGTGTGTGTGTGTGTGTGTGTGTGTGTGTGTGTGTGTGTGTGTGTGTGTGTGTGTGTGTGTGTGTGTGTGTGTGGCAAGTGATGACTATGCTTTTACTTCATGAAGATGGATGTATTGATGTTGTTTGTCTAATATCATGTAAATATTCAAATTAATCTATTCTCGGAAATATCCTCCATGGTGTCATCGGGAATTGTTGGTGCCATATTTGTACATGTTTTTTAAAAGGATGATGACCAGTTATATTTTGATTGAATTTCTAACTGCAGGGGCTAGAGAGGATATGTAGAAAATCTTCTGTTTCATATCTTAAGTAAATACACACCTGTGACGCAGTATTAGTTATGAACATTTTCAAATCGACGTGCATATTTATTTTTTAAATGTTATTTACTTGGATATTTTTGTTTAAAATCAATGTTTGATATTATTAAGTGACTAAAGTACATTATTTATGGTGATATATACTGTAACAAACTCTCTTTGGTGTATAGAAAGAAAAACATTTCATAAGGTGTTGTTCTTTAACTGTCAGTAATAGTTTTTCTAAATATTATGAATGTTAACAGAATACCTATCTTTCTGATCATTTATAAGTATATTTTAAGAAATAATAAAGTTCCAGTAGCTATACGATATAACAATTATGATCATCAGAATCATAATCATAATAATTCATTATTATTATTTGGAAACATTTAAGATTTTGCTTTTAATTGGTTTCATGCTGTGCATTTATAAATTGTGCTTGGAATATTATGTTCTACAATACTTTGAGACAGTGTGTGTCATTCTTCACCAAATCCATCATGATGTTTGAGGTGTATGTCTTAATGTCAATCATTGCATTTGTGATATTCAGCTAATTTTATTATACCAGTGTGTGTGCTGTGTCTCTCTATATTCAGCTTAAGCTTTAACACCAAACATGTGGATATGGTCTGCCAGTGTACCCACCAGTTTTGGGGGGCTCAAATTGGGAGAGGGCAACTAATGGATTGTTTGGTATGGCAGTCTAAGTTTGGGAACAATCAATTGTATTTAGAAATCCTACAAAAAGGTGTTCAACTAATTCAATGACCAATTGTGAAGTACAAAACCACAGCTGACAACTGGCTAATAAACACAAGAGAAGCATGAATGTTTATGAAGCTGTTGAAGTTTATTGGGAAACACAGACTTGGGGAAAGATGCGTTGAATTAAGGCATGGCTTCAGTTCAAGTCGCTGATTCTTCTGATGGAGCCGACTTTGGGGCTGACGCCTCCCCAGTCGCTGAACCTCCTGTACTCCCCGGGCCTCATGTAGTACGCCCTGCCCTTGTAGTTGGGCTGGTCGTACAGCAGCCAGTGGCCTTCCATCACGTTACAGGAGTTGAAGTCGGACATGCTGAGGCGGTCCTGGATGTTTGGGCAGTCGTCCAACATTTCGTGCATCTGACCGGACATGTCGGAGCGTTCGTAGAGCCTCATCTTGTAGGAGCCACGGTGCTGGGAATGGATGGAAAACATTGTTACTAAGCAGCATTATAATAAATCCCATTGGTATCCAGAGATATTTTAGGTGTGTAATCCCAGTCAGGTACATCACTACTGACATTACAAGCCTTTAAGAGCTAGAAAATAACCCATCAATGGAATAAAGACCATAAAATTGGTCCATTAGGGATATTTTTTTATTTCTGACTTACCTGGGGGATCATACGGCAAGACCTGACACAGTCGTTGAGGCCAATGGCACGCTGGTTGTCAGAGTACTCTCCTCTCCTCAGGTAGTACTGGTTGCCCGTGTAGTTGGGCCTCTCATAGATCATGAAGCAGCCGCTCTCCACCCTGATGGAGTTGCATCTGTTGAAGTAGGAGTGGAGCTCGGCACTGTCGCTGCTGCACTCATGAGAGCGCCCCTGGAAGTTCCTGTCCTCGTAAAATATGATCTGCAAAAAGCAATAATTGCACATGCACCGATAGTTTCATTTTTTTAATGCAAAGCTTTGGATGGAATGTAATTGGTAAAATACAGTGTGGATAAAACCATAGTTCCTTACCTTTCCCATGGTTATGTTGGTATCAGACTGCGGTTAACGATGACACTCAGCCAAGCCACTATGCTTTATAAAAAAAAGAAAGAAAGGCCGGCTGTGTGATTGCACAGCATAAAGCATTGTCATTTAAATATATCCCTCACAGCGTTGATGTATCAGGGGTGCGGGTGGGTGGGAAAAATCTGTTTGTGTATAGATTATTCTTGGTGTGCGATGAGTTATTGTTCTTTCCTCCATGTTCATCACTATTTCCCTCCAGAAAGGGCCACCGTACAATAGACTGTGTACTGTACAGCATCAGCAGGATTAAACTGATATGAAATGTTGCGGACACGTGATAGTCAGAACAATCTATCAGGTCAGTAAGTTTTTTAATGGACATGGGCAAATGTACAGTATTTTCTGTGATACAATACACAGTACTTCACTCTCACTACTTGAAGGCTTCTTAAAGCCTTTGAATCTTGAAACTTGAAACTAATGCCATGTTTTAAAATGTTTGAGGTCCTGCTCACGACTGAAGCGAATATGAAGACTCCATTTTGCAAATGCTTTATTACGATGGTGAGTACAAGTCATGAACATTTTGTTGTCTGTGCTTTTCATTGAGTCCATTTCTAATCCCTTTTAATAATTCAACGTTTTTTTTTTAGGATATTGTCTTATCCTTCAAGATGAATGACAAAATATTACAGAAAAAGGTCCAAGTGAGAGTCACATAATGTAAATTGTCTTTATCTGAGCATGAAGCATTTCCAAAACTTCAATGCAGCTCTTGGATGCTCTAAAGCAGATCAATAGTCCAGGATGCGTCTGATGGAGCCGACTCGGGCGCTCCTGCCTCCCCACTCGCTGAACCTCATGTACTCTCCGCGTCTTATCAGGTACATCCTGCCCTGGAACTCTGGGTGCTCGTAGAACAGCCAGTTTCCATTGGTCACGTTGCAGGAGAAGATGTCGTTCAAGTGAAAGCGTTCATGGACGCTGGGACAGTCGTCCGCCAGGTCCATCATCTGACCTCCGAACTCGATCCTCTGGTACAGGCGCATGCTGAACGCCCCGGCATCCTAGTTTAAATTGGATAAAGGAAACATTTAGAAACCAAAATAACATTTATATGTCAATAAATGTTATCCTTTGTGTCACCTATATTGTATCTTTAATGATAACACGCCATTTTATATGAAGAAATATTAAGAAAGAATACAATGAGTTGTTAATAATCTTAAAGTGTACTGTATGCACCCAGATGTGAGCATTAGCTTTGGAGCAGGATTACAAAAACACCTTGTGGAAGATGAAAGCCATTACATTTTGGAGCGAGTTCGAATCAATGGGCGGATACACTTATTATTTTTACTTATAGAGAAAGCCTTGATGTAGGTCTTGCTCTCTCTAAAAGACCTTACTAATGTGGTTTGGTTGGTGTCTAGACTGAAATAGTACAGTCTTCATGTATCCCCTCCCCTACACACACCACAACACAGACTATATCACCCCTTGCTGCTAAATACCAATCAACTTTGTGCAATATGTGCTGTGTGCAATATATATATGCCGTTAATAACTGTGTAATTTATACCTGGCTGCTAAATCCTTAGAACCGTTACAATGTGTGTTTTTTTTGTATTTTGTAAATTGTGTAACTCTGTATAAAATACCATCAAACTATGTGCTATATGCAATATATACATTATATACATATGCCATTAATAACTGTGTAATATATACCCGGCTGCTAAACCCTAAGAACTGTTACAGGATTTGTATTTTGAAAAGTATTTTTTTTACTTTTATTTTTTTATTATATTTTTTATTATATCATAACTTAGTACTTTTTTTTAACATGTGTAACATTAAGCTGTCTGTGGCTCTTTCCTGCTGTAACGATGCAAATGTCCCCTCTGTGGGACTAATAAAGGTATTCTGATTCTGATCAAAGTGACTTTTCCTTTAGCTCCACCATAAGGTTAACATTTGTGATTTGCATTTGAATATAGTGACACTTTAAGATGGATGCCATGACATTTGGCAATAAAAGTCCAACTAAAACAAAGTGCTTAAGGCACATTTTTAACCTGCCAGAAAAAAAGTAATACACACATTTTGTTTGCTGCAGTTTTCATTACTCCTGATGCTAATTTCTTATAAGAAGTACAGGAGTGCACTAATGTTTCTTGGTCAGTGTATTCTTGGTGAGCACAAATGATCCTTGAATTCATATAAACACAGTGGATGAAAATGTACCCTAAACCTAACATTTGGATATAACACTTGAATTGTTCTGTTCGGAGAAGAGAATCTGTCACGATTCTTGTGTTGTGTCACGTTTTTAGTTTTGTGTGTCCGGTAGTGGGTGTTTTGCTGTTCTCCTTGTCATGTTTTCCTCCCTGTGTATTGTCTGGTCTTTTCCCTGTGTTTTCCTGTCTGTCGTTAGTTTCCCTGGTGTGTCTAATTTCCTGATTGTTTTCACCTGTCACCCCTTCTGTGTCTCCTGCCCTCATCAGCGTCAGCCCCGCCCCTGATTGTTCCCACCTGTGTCTTGTTACCCTGTGTTTAAATTCCCCTGTCTCCCAGTGTTCAGTCTCAGTTCGTTTTTGTCTATTGCCATGGTCAGGTCCAGTGTTGGGACTAACGCGTTACTGTAACGCAACTACTTTTTTCGGTAAC